TCACATTTTTCTAGTCTCAAGTTTCCACAGTCCTCCTCTATTTTAGTCTCAGATGATTTTCCTCATTTTAGTGTAAAAAAGAAAAGAAATTTCATCTACTCTCATTGTCACACTTACCAATTAGCTTGTGTCTGTTTGCTTCTCATTCTTTGAGGAACTACAGATAAGTGTACACTTTTGGGGGGTCTCTTTCAGCACAAAAATGTAAATGCCTAAGGGCTAAAGCCTTTTCCTGTTTTTTCTCCCTATTATATTTTCAACCCCAGTATATGGCACCTGTTATTCAATAGTACCCATCAGGATGATGAATGTATAAATTCCCAATGTGTGGTAGATATTTACTCAGCTAAATAAGTGACTGAAATGATTATTTTTCTAGATTAAAATCTAGTGGACCAGATAATGACCATTTAATGCAACATATGTAGTGTCAGATGGGTGCACACCCACAGATCACTGTGAGCACAGAACAAGGAGGGGTACTCATTAGTGCAGATGCTCTCTAGTCAACTCTTGGCTCTGTTACTCTTTGAACTAGTTTTAAGTTTTTATTAGCCTCATTTATTGCTGGGATTAAATAGGTCAATACTTAATCTCACTGATTTGTACAGTAAATGATTAAACAAGTGAAGATGAAAGAGTGGCCTGGGTTGGGGGAAGAGGTTCAGGAAGAAGGACATTTGGTGGCAGTAGATTCTACATAGGGTTGATAGTAGAGCAGGTAAGATGTGGTGATGATGGATTATTTTGATGATAGAGCAAATACAATAAGCTTAGTAGGTAGATAAAAACAGTCATAGATGGTACAAATGCCTATATTTCATCACAGACTCCCACATAGGTCAAGAATGGATTTGAACTCATATCACATGAGTTAGACAACTGTGCTATGAGCATTTCCTGCTAATTAAAAAGAAAATCTCACATGTGTGAGTCTTGCTTTTGGCTAAAGTTTCATAAAAGCATTCTCTGCACCAAACCAACTATATTCATGGTACTATAAGAAAATTAAGTAAATGCCCAGTTCTCCTTGAGAAAAGCAGCTCTGTACAGTCCTCTTGCTATGTGAAAGGCAAATCGATTTGAGAGGGATCTCACAGTTACCTGTGAGTTTTCATTTCTTGAGACATGTGCTTTTCAAACAAGGAGGGGATTCTAGTTATGGACTGAGAACTTACAATCTGATGAAAGTGCATGGCAAAGAAAGGTTCAGCTATAAAAAGGGAATATGTAGTTGAGAGTAAATGATTTTTGGTGTGCAGTGTTCTTTGTTTTCGTTGCTGAAAAAATGAAATAGACTAGCTCAATGGAGAGATTTTAAGTTCTCTCTTTTTAAAAATCTCAGTTTTCAATAACAAATGTCATTAAATTCAGAGAGTAATATGAAATATATTTAGCAACAAAGAGATAGGAAAAACAAGGATTCGTTCACTTTGAAACTGTGGTGGTTTGGAAAAAAAATGGTCCCCAAAGGGAATGGCACTATTAGGAGATGTGGCCTTATTGGAGTAGGTGTGGTCTTGTTGGAGGAAGTGTGTCATTGTGGAGGTTGGCTTTGAGGTCTAATATATGCTCAAGCCATGCCTAGTGAGACAGTCTATTTCCTGTGCCAGCGTATTAACATTTAGCAGCTCCTTCTTTGGTACCATGTCTGCCTGTATGCCACCATGCTCCCCACCATGATGATAATGGACTAAATCTCTGAGACTATAAGTAGCTAGGTCAATTAAATGTTTCCCTTTATAAGAGTTGCTGTGGTCATGGTATCTCTTCACAGAAATAGAAACCCTAAGACAAAAACTAATAATAAAAATGAGAAATACATAGGTTCCTATATATGTTTGTACTATGTAGCATTTCTTTTTTCAATTTTACCTCTGTCTGTTAAGTCTTGAGAAGTTTACAGCTCACAAAATAAAAAAGAATGACTAATTATGGCAAATTTTATGTGGAAGTTAAAATATGATTACCTAAAAACTTTGTATTTTATTAAATTAAAGAAAATTTAATTTTTTTTTGTGTGTGTGTGTATAGGGTCTGTATGTCATGTGTGTACCACAGTGCCCGGTGTACAGGCTATAATAAAAGAAAAGTTGAAGAGTAGGAGATGTCCATGGACTTGGAGGCACTTATGATAATATATTACTTTAATCAAAAGCAGGAAGACAAACTCAAAAGTAAACAATGAAAAGGAAAACCTTGCAGCAATCATCTGAAACCTGTAAAGGTCTTGAACTCATTTGTCTGGTTTGTCAATAGAGAATCAGCTTAGAGATGAATGGAATGGTATACTTGAACCCTATGTTGGAAAAAAACTCATCGTTGCCTCTAGCCTATGGATCAAGCAGTATATGCAAATTATTTTTTACTTTGGCCTTTGACATCTCCTCTGTTGCTTAGCAATTTCAATGTCTAGCTCATTGTGCTTTCCTGAATTCATCCTTCTGTTTTCTACTTCTGTGGTTTTCTGCATGTCCTTTTCTCTTTGGAATTTTCTTCTTTCTGTCTGTGACTACAAACTATTCCCCAAAATTCAGTGTGAATAGCAACCTCTCATTTCTACATATCCTTTGCTTTACGTCATCATTAACCTTTAGCACATGGTCTTAATGTACTTAACGTGTTACATGTCCAGGCTTCCTTCTTTTTCACCTTGGTATTTCCTTACACCTTGGTATTCCCTGCACAAAATAGATACCAAATCTTTGTGCAGCTAAATGGTTGTCCACAAGGGAAAGGTTGTTCTCCACATCTTCCTTTCAGTTTAGAGGGACAGTCTGGTTCTGTCCACAGCTGACTGTCATTTATCCTTTCATTTTGTGTTTGGCAACCTGTGCCAAGAAGAAGAAAGTGGTGTGCATCTGGACTCCAGATTTTCTAAGCACCGTAGCTCTCATCCCAAGGGAGAACAGAGGAGGAACATTGCAACTGAGTCTAAAAGCAAAGCGCTTTCACCAGTTGAAACTCACGTTGTTTACATGCTTTGGAGTACTAATGTTTGAAAACACACATTGGAGCAGGATATCAAGTTCTACAGGCAAAAAGCCATCCAACCAGGGCTCTAAAAATGGCCCATCTATTTCTTCTTTTACCCATAACTGCACAGCTTGAGAATATATTTTAAAGATGAATCTTACTTTAAAGCATTAAAATATTTTCCAGGGTCTACCTAGCAGCCAGTTTTCTTATGTTATTCATGTTCGCAAGCTGTCATTGTGACCTGCTTTTTCCACTACTTAATGGAGGGTACTATCATTTCCATTTTGCGACTGCCTGATAATACTGAGCAATGTAAGCTATAAAAACTTCACTTGTCAGGAAATATTAATGGAAGAGGTGTGGCCATTCCTCTTCCAGCATTTAAAAGCTTAAGCTGTGGTAATAAAAAATGTTGACTTTTACTTCCTGAAATGACACAGAGAAGAACTTGAGGGCAATGAAAGCAAAATCCAAATGGATTACAAAACTAGGGCAGAGTTAAAGAAAAAGAAGAATACCAGAAAACAATTTAAGACATTGCTGTTTACCCAGACCATGGCTGTGAAATTATGTTGTTGGAGACTGCGCCCCCCGCCCCCTCGCCAAGAATCCAGAAACACACTCTTTGAAAAAAAGAAGCAAGTATAGTTTCCTCTGTATACTCATCTACATCCAACCACCCAGCAGAGCTAGATAAAGGGGAATGGATCCTTGGTTCAAACATAACAGTGGAACAAATCCTTATTAGCTGTCACAGTGGTGAAACCAAGCTCTTAGAGGAGTTTAATTCCTGACAAGACTGGCTGGTCTGTGCTTAAAGAGAAGAGGAAGCTACAGTAACTTGTTAGTGAAAGCTGCCGGACAAGTTGATTGTTAAGTAACATCTCCACTTCCAGTGAACTTTTGTAAGACTAGTTTAAAGATCCCACACAATATCACATGCAAGGTTTGAAAGGGTAAAGAAGAACCGCCTTTAGTAAAAGACTTAGAGTTCCCCAAAGAGGTGGCACAGAATTCACCCAGGTGGTCATTTCCTGAAAGGGATGGTAGTCTGATAAATGTTGACAGTGGAAAAGAAGATTCAGGGAAATGTGCTGGGCTAGTATGCCTGTGGAAGTCAGGGTTCCAACAGACAGGCAAAACTCATGTATATTAGAGTTTGCCTTTGACCTGCACAATCATATGTAATGATCTGTAGAACAATATAAAAGAAATCAGAGACTTTCCCACTTCCCACAACATTTCCACTTGGCCTGTATTATTGTGAATTTCTTAGAAGTTTTATTTTAAATTACCCATTTGTTTTCAGCATTTATTTTACCTATTATCTGTGAGATGACACCCCCGACCCTTTGCTACAGAATCTATCTTTTGGTTATCTCTAAACATAATTTGCTCACAGATCCTCTGAGACCTGTATAAATGCTCTCCAGAGAAACAGGCGTGTGCACACACAGTCATATGCAAGCTCAATTCTGGTCTCATTGTTTCCCAGTTTTACTCACATAGTCTCATGATGGATACCAGGGTAGGAATTTGTGCTTTGTTATTTTTTTGCTGTTCTGACTTTATACATTGTTAAGAATGACACGCTATCTCTGATTTACTCTGCTCCTTTGCAAAGAGCATAGAGGGAACATCTTGGATCCCCAGTCTTAACTTCAGATGAGAAGGGCTCAAGCCTATTGTCCTTTCTCCTGCTAATGCTTTAGAATGCTTCTGTTCTCTTTTTCAGTTTAGCCCAAATGACCTGTGTTACTAACACACTGAACATTCCTCATAAACTACAATATTGTTTTAATGAAGATACAAGGGCTTGAATTTTCTCCTGAGCAAATCCTTAGGAAGTGAGAAAGAGATATAAATACTGATTACATTGATTTGATTATTTTGTAATATATGTATGCATAAGATCATTAAACAGTGTCCTGTAAATACATCCAGTTCAAATAATACTATTTCTCTTCAAGTAATTCCTACTATAAGATTTTAGTATAGACTGAAGATGATGGCAATGTTACCTGGTAAGAACAATTCTTCTTGGAGTCTTGCTCTGGCCTGTTGGGAAAAACATCTTTTCTTCAGCCAGTTCGCTTCGAATTCACTGTAATGCTCATTGGGCCATGTGATATAAACCTTATAACACAGAAAGCAATTATCATCTATTTGTACATTGCACAGCTATACACTTCTGCCTTCTGAAGTTGCTTTTCTTTGGAATGTTATTTAAAATGATCAGGGAATTCAATTATACATTACTCTCCCTTTCCCCAACAAGTTGAAGATCTACTTCTGGTGCCTAAGGATGATGAGACAATGTGTAAGAAATAGAATTCTGCTAACCTGACATGTCTGCTTTACATACTCTAAATATGTGATCCTCAAACTTCCTATGAGAGGGCAGGACTACTAAGAGTGAGAATTGGGAAGAGAGAACTTAAGCTGAGAGGAGGACAGACTAATGAGGAAATGATGGGTTTTCTGATCACATTTGTTCTTTGGTGAGAATTTGGAAACAAGGAAGAAAGAAAGATGGTGAATGCCACATCTGGTTGACTTTGAGAGTGACGCTCTTAGGACATCACTTCTTACACACCTACTCACTAGTTTGGATAAATAATACCAATCAGTGTGATTTCTGAGTGAGTGCACTATGCTGGACAGTATGATAAACATTTCCATCCAGATTAGCTCATTGAATTCTGACATTGATGTGAACAAATTGCACTTTTCCAGTTTGATGAAAGAGTAAACGTGAGTACCAGATGCACTATTTTTGTGATATAAATTGATTCTATTTCAAGGCTGCTACACACTGAAAGTAAACAAGGCAATTTGTGTGTTTTATTAAAATCGTAATAGTATAGCCGGGCGGTGGTGGCGCACACCTTTAATCCCAGCACTCGGGAGGCAGAGGCAGGCGGATCTCTGTGAGTTTGAGGCCAACCGGGGCTACCAAGTGAGCTCCAGGAAAGCCACAAAGCTACACAGAGAAACCCTGTCTCGAAAAACCAAAAAAAAAAAAAATCATAATAGTAAAAGGTAAAAAAAAATTATACAATTTGAAGGGAAACCATAATATATCAGCAGGCTGTACTTATATATTTATATGTGCACATATATATGTAACAATATTAAAGAGAAATAGGCCACCAGTTTGAGAGAGAGAGAGAGGGAGGGGGATATGGGAAGGGTTGGAGGAAGGAAAGGGAAAGGCACAGGTGATGCAATTAAATTTCAGTTAAAATAAACAATATATACATTAAAGAGGAAAAGTAAAGGAAAGCATTGTAGTTATGATAGCAACAGCCCATTCTTCCACTAAGTATGCCTACTCTGTACCAAGTGCTCTACAAACATGTCCACGGAGATGGCTTGTTCTATATGTAAGTTAAAGAAGATTGATTTACATTATTATAAACTAACCCCTTGATTTAACTCAAAAGAGAAGGGAAAGTTCACTAGAGATAATTACCTTTTTCCGGTCAAATGTCAAGTCTTTGATTCTAATGTTCACATCGAGAGCTTCCAGGAGAAGTTTCCGAGCTTTTGCAGAATGCAGGTAGCATTCAGAACACTGGCAGTTGTCTCTCAGCCATACTGATGGGTAGAGGGACTCTGCCCCATCATGCCAGAAGATCTGCATCAGATGAGCCCCATCCACTGCTTCCGCCTTTAGGATGGCACAGTGCATGTTTCTGGTCTTTGAAGATAAATCCTACCAGCTCCCTGCTATGACAAGTCAATGTTAAAAGTAATAGGCAGGCAGATTGGACCTGAACCTGACCTCTACAATAATACAAGCGAACTCTGGCCTCGGCTATCTGCTCAGCAGTGTAAGCCTGCCGTTTGACCAATGCTGGGACCTTTGTTCTGATTAGAGTATTTCACATGTTGTAAACAGAAACAGAGTGACTAGCTTGAAGATAAAAATGCCACACCAGAATCCAATGGAAAGAATTCCCTGTTCTTTTAGGAGAAATTTTAGATGATAAAGTGAGAACCAATGATACCCCCATTTATACAACTGTGTTTTCAGAAGAATTGCTTGGCAAATGGAAAATGTAATGTTTGCCTCCTTGCTTTGGTTTTTCAGTGCTGAAGATTTAGCCCAGGGCTTTAGACTGGCCAGATAGGTACTCTACTGTTGAGCTTCAGCACCAGCTCACATCGCTGCTGTTTTAACTGATGACAGCTCCACCTGGCTTTTGAAACACAACATGCTTCCATGATTCTCAATGACTACCAAGAGACTAGTAATGCAATTAATTTGCTTAAAGGTTAGCATGACTCAGAATATGGTGATATTTCTGTTCTTTTTTATTTTATTTTTTGGTTTTTCGAGACAGGGTTTCTCTGTGTTGTTTTGGTGCCTGTCCTGGATCTCGCTCTGTAGACCAGGCTGGCCTTACACTCACAAAGATCTGCCTGGCTCTGCCTCCCGAGTGCTGGGATTAAAGGCGTGTACCACCACCACCCAGCTCTATTATTTTCTTTTTACTTGTACAGTATATTTTCTCACTGGAATATCAAAATACCAAAGTCCTTCTAAAAGCTTATTGGGTTTGTTTTCTGACATTATCTTCCTGTGCTCATTTGGAATGTCTTACTTTATCCTGAGAGTTTATGGGGTAGTTTTACATATCTACATTTTTCCTGGGAATGTATGACTTCTTTTTTATTACAAAATCCACCAAATTTATAGCAATGCAATAATTTCAGGAAAATAAATAAAGTGAAAGAAAGGAGCCGTGCTACTTGCCCTGTGCAACTCAGTGTCAATCCTTATTTCACTAGTAAGTATATACCTGACCTTCAGAAATGATACAGTGTTAGAGACTTAACTTTCTGCATATGTTTTTCTGAGATTCTCCAGATGTGTACAAAGAGTAGAACTTAGTTAAAAACTTTACATGAAAGAACCAGGGTGTTTTAAGTGTTCTCATGGGACAGTTGACACCTTTAGCTATCCTAACAGAAGGTGACAGGGCAGCAGAGATGACATTGTTACCTTGTGATGACATGATCAAGACCCCCATCACACAGTGCAGTGTCTGCTCATACAACCTCTTCAGTGTATCGGGAACCAAAACAGCACCAGGGACTTAGCAAGCAAGGCAAAGGCACTTACTGAGTTTCTTGAAATTATAGGAACATTTTGTAGTGTATTAAAATAAATTTACACTCTTTTCATGGTATTAAGAGGTGATTGTGTTGTATGTTATTTCACAAATCAAATAGCTTTGATGATTTCTTCTGATTATAGAGCTGAGTCAATGCAGGAAAGTTTGCTTTCTCTATTTAATTCAAATACACTGGGTTTACCTAGTCACTAAACAGGAGAGAGACAATTCACTGGGCCTCAAGTACATATTCTTGCTTGGGAACGCATGCCCAAGCGTTTCCTAAATGCTAACGACAGAAGAGCATTACTATGCAAACTATTCATTACAATTATAATTTAGTTTAAACTTGGAAAGTTAGCATGTGAGTTTGAAGAGAGCTGTAGCAAGTCTGGAACCAGCTCCTCTGTGGAATAGATAGCATACAGTGTTCCAGATGGGAGGTGGTGAATGCTGCAGGGATTTCCACAGGCACAGTTTCAAAGAAGAGTGGTGATTCCAGTCAACAACTCTGAGATAGCACAATTAGACCTTTAAGCAACACATAACACAAAGACGAGAGAGAGAGAGAGAGAGAGAGAGAGAGAGAGAGAGAGAGAGAGAGAGAGAGCCTAAAGAGATGGCTCAATGGTTAAGAGTGCATACTGCTTTTGCAGAGGATCTTGGTTCAGTTCCTGGTACCCAAATCAAGTGGTTCATAACAACCTGTAACTCCATCTCCAGGAAACACACAACAGCTCTGGCCTTCTCGGTAACTTGCACATACCCACTCACAGACATACACACATACACATAATTAAAAATAAATTAAACTTTTATAAAAGAGGGAAATAAAACAATTTTTTTTTTAATCTCTGTCAGGAGTCACCAAATAGTTTCTACAAAAAGGCTGAAAGGCTGTTAGGTTTGTAGGGCACATATATTTTCTCTTTTCTATTCTTAATTTTTAAACTCCATTCAAAACATAACAGCTATTCTTAGCTCAGGACATGCATAAAAGTGGCCTGCAGGATATTTCTGACCAAGAGCAGTAGTGTAGCTGTCCTTGCTAAATTTATTCTTTCTTTCAGTGCAGTGGTATGCTGTGAGACTTTCAGTGCAGTGGTATGCTGTGATGCATTCAGTGCAGTGGTAAGCTGTGATGCATTCAGTGCAGTG